TCCTGTATTCTGTTCGTTCGTTCTTGTGGCAAATGTACAAAATTCTATCGAGTACGAACGTTATTCTGTTCGTGTTTACGCGCGCGAGAATAAAGTTCTGTTCTCTTGTCAACGATATTGTAATCGTGAAGATGGTAACGATCGAGTAAATTTTTCTGCATACATTTTTCCGTATTCCATTCGCACAGAAATGCGCGAAACCTACGGCCGAGCCGCAGCTCCGGCGGATAACGCGTGTAAAATGAACGAAACAGCGAATCGGCAAGGAGCTAAGCCAGAACGGCAGGGGAAACCAGGTCCTCGAAGGCCAGAGGCAGTTGCTGCCGAATAGGAAGCTACGTTTCCGTGGAACTTCCGGAAGGCGGAAGTCTGCAAGCTCGATCGGAGGTCGTGGCAAAGGCCGCCGCGCGGCTGATTCGTTCCAGTTTATTTCGACTTGCACACGACCGAGGAGCGAATGTGCCGGGCTCCCTTCCTCCGTCGCGCGATCGCCAGCAACGTCGCTTCGTAACTTCTGTGTTCGGTTGGCCGCGCAGCTGCGCCTCCGCGGAGTCGAACGCGTGCGGAGAAACGCTGGGTTTTCTTCTATGCTTCTGTGCTTTTTACACGTCGCACGGTTTCATACGTTGCGGTCTGGATAGCGGCACTGCAACGAGGAAAAGTAAGACGACACCCGCTGCCGCCGCGGTCAACTTTCGGAAACACTTTTTACGGGCTTCCCGCGGGTAACGCGACTCCAAAAACCGTGTCGCGAATTATGGTAATGGGAATAGTAACGGGGAATTATGGTAATAACGATAGAGAACTTTAGCGGCCGACTCGGCCACGTTTCGGTCCACACGCTGTACGACGATAAAATCGTAGGAAAATGCTGATTAGTGGACCGCCGACGTTCCTGCAATTTGACAGGCCTTCGAATGCCCGAATCGGTAACGACGGAAACTGATTTTGCCGATCGAAATAGAACGTTATCGTATGGTAATAGTCTTGTAGTCTTTTTGCTGTTTCAAGTCTCGCCCATTAACTTCTGCCATAAGTACGTGAAATCCACCATCCGATCGTGACCGAAATCCTCTGTAACAATCCCGAATTGTGCGCCAGAAATTACCGGGCGTGGGACGAACGCTTTCCCATGCAAAAACAATCCTGTCCGAGCGAATGTCAAAAACTGTTACACCGTGCTCGCTTATCGAGAGTCGTCCGCGCATAGGAATTCGCGATGCGTCCACTCGGTCGAGTCCTCGGTTAAATCGAAATTCCGACACTGAAATCCGAAAACGCGACGCTCTAAACTACGCGAACAGCTCGCCGCGGCCTTCGCGTTGCCCCCATGGAAGTTGTCGCCGGGCCGTTTCTCCTCCGTTGTCGCGTGAAATGATTTTTTAATCGATCGCCGGCGAAACGAAAACCTGGGAAACCGTGGCGCCCCCGAAAACTGGCCGGCACATTTCCCGTTGTTATCGATATTACATTTATCAGGCCGGTTGCATCGAAAGCTGTCCGTTTCCTACGCGCTCGTTCGATATTTTTCGTTTCAATTCCGAGCCGGTGAAATCGGCGCGATCTCTTTCCGCGTCACGGTGACTCCTGCACGGCCTCTACGCGGTAAAACATGGACGAGAGGAAGCGAGAGCATCGCAGCTGTCGCGGCGGCTCCGAAACTCGCAGCCACGGTTATCGGAATCGCATTAATCTGTGCGTGCGCACACCGAGCCAGATCCGTATCTCCGCGGATAGGATAAACTTCGCGGCAGCGGCTGAAGATACAAATCGCATTTTGCCCCGGGCAGATTCTTTGCATTTTCATTGGACCGGATCTCCCCGTTTTTATCACACGGGAACGACGAAGACCGCGCGCGCGTCTCCTGCTTCGCTCGCGTCGCGACAAAAACGAATCGAACGAAAACAGTCTCGCGCGCGTCGATATTTCATCCCCTCTTTGAAAAGGGCTTGTTGCCGTATCGTGTAAGCGCACGGATCTCTCGGGCTAGACAAATTTCGCAGCACACAGAGTCGGGGGCCTCCACTCGCTAAAACCTTTTCCGATCTGTCCGCTGGGAGCACGAAACGCTCGACGGAAGAATATTTAATCTCCAGGCATTTCGCGATCCTTCAACATCCGCGGAAGTCGCGGCCCCGGATGCATCGTGAATAATATAATCTCTGCTCGTTAATCAACCCCCGCGTCATTCGATCCTCCGCGCGCTTTTTCCCGGGAACGTTGTTTCCTTAACGATATCGATCGCTCGCTTTTCAAGTCAGTTATGCAATTTTTAATTCAATTTAATGTACCGCGTGTGCTCTGGCTGAGACCGTTCGACGAAGTATGCTTTGGCCACGGTGGTGGGGCGCTTCTAATTTGCTTTATGGGTTATTCGAATCTCCCAAAGCGACTTGAAAAATGAAAAGAGATAGATTCCTCTAGAAATATAATTTATCTCGATGTTCTTTTCTTTCTTTCTTATTAGCTAACGTTATTGGGATTTCATCTGTGCACATGCCTTCGCAGCTGTGGATTTTGATTTCTGAAGTCATCGGTCGAGTCTATCGCGTATACTCGCGAAACAACGAATATCGAACGGTTAGAAGAAAGAATTATCATAGCGTTTGAAAAACTAAAATTGCAAAGCAACACTTTAGGAAACGTGTATAGAAATTTCATTATAAGACCAAAATAATATAGGAGACGTCGCAGGCATATTTTTTTCTTTTGTTTTTTAAATATTATTAACAAAATTTATCGAAAATTAAGTAAGATTTGTCACGATTGGATTTTTTGGAAAATGAAGTTCCAACGAAGAAAATGTATTATCCGGTTGTACCGCACCAGTTACATGACACCCTGTATACGTATATCTATCGCGTGTCAACAATTACTTGGATATTAAATATCGACGAGGAGAAAACGGTTGAAAGAACGAAATAACATTGCCATTTGACAAGTTATAATCAAAAGTGTCCATCACGAGTCATGGCCTCGATGCCAAATATCGTTATTCATTTCGAAGAAATTATTTCCTTAATCGAATGCCCAGTTTGCACGCTAAACCAATCTTATCGTTAAACGAACCGGTACAAACGAAACAGCCCGTGTATAAACACGTTTTAATTCGCACCGATGGAAGGCTGCCTCCCTTTATTTTTTTTTAGTATAACGAACCGCGCACGAATACAAATTACAAGCCACGATTGACAATTTACAAATCCCAAATGAATTTCTCGGGGAAAAGGTAAATCGTGCGGAAAACTGAGCAAACAAAATATCACAGATTTCCAAGGCGCGCCGCGTCGCCGCGAAAACATATTTTTTCCTCTGCACGTCGGTTCAACCCGCGCGGGTCGAATGAGATCTCCCATTCCTCTCATTAAAGATACAAACAACCATTTCTTAGAAACACTCCGAATAATTATCTCGCGGTAATCGTGGAAAAGCCTTGATCGTTCGTTCCACTCTACGTGACAGGAATTTAATGACGCAATTAAGAAGTTCCCGGGACACGGTGCCTCTTCGTGCCTAAGAGGGAAAGAGCCGGAAAATCCGGCGTCCGACGAATTCTTCTCGTCGCGACGAAAAAGGCGTGCAAATAATTATTCGATTACCGTGTCGCGATATCGGTGCTCAAGCGACACGTAGACGAGCATATCGAACCACTAATTTCGTCATCCTCGTTGTCCGAATCGATGAAAGATTGGGTTTTGTCTCTCGAATTAGACGTTCCCGATGCTCGCCATTTTGGATTTTCAGAGAGGAGGGCCGAATTATTCTTGCCAGCTATTCGATTATTGCTAGCGCAAGCTGCGGCGCAAAATTCCACAAAAATGCAAATTTGCCATTCATTTCTGGCACTAGCAAATTTCTCAATGTTTTCTTTATTATTAATTTATGGAAAGTTTGCGTTGGAAGTTTTGCAAAGTTAAAGATCGACCGAGGAATTAACGATGCGTACATAATTTAGTTCACTTATTAATTCTCAGCTAATTAGCATCATAGAATATTGCGCGAATCTGCACGCGGTAATGCATAAAATGCTTGTGCACGCTGCCGATTATGTATTATCGATGACGATTTTAATTATCCCTTGCAATTATTAATTGTCACCGATTTATAGTTCCATCGAACCAGTTATACACTGTTTCGAGATTAGGCTAGATCACATTCTACCGGTGGTATATAGTATCGTGTATAGTATTTTGTTAATATTTCATAAGGGCCAACACGTTACAATGCTTCCGGGCTGCTAATTGTTAATTAAACATCGCGAGGGCTGAAATTCTCGCGATTAGAGATTGTTATATACTGTCGGAAAGTCAAAAATACTAATTGCTATAATCCAGCCTTGTTGCAACCAACGCGGCTCTTGTGAAAAATTATGAAACCCTGGTGCAGAATGTTTGCGAATTGCGATGCGTGGAAATAACGACTGGAGGCCTTGTTAACCGGCTCCTCTAATTTCTCTACGTTCTACCATTCGAATCTTTTTCAATTAAACGAATTAATCTTTGCAGAAGAACAAGGTCCAAAATTAATTTATGCAAGATGTTAATATATCGATCTTAAGCGAACGTGTTTCGCGAACGTTTTTCATGAATGTTCAGACATTGCTTAAGAGAGAATTCCTTTGAAACCGGACCGGATAATTCGAGCTTTTCCGAGGATTCGGCGGAGCAAATGCTAAAGGTGTTACCTGTACCGAAAACTGTTGCTTCACAATGGAATCACAGATTATAAAATTCGCGAAAAGTTCCACAGGAACTGTGTACGCATACGTTCCCGATTGAGATCGAGAATAATGCGAGACGATGTTACGGAAACAAACGTGCACGTCGGAGAAGCGTTCGTTCCACCGAACGATCTCCTCGATCCGACGCTGACATTTCCCAATTAATTCGAATACAGAAGTCGATCCCGCCGGATCGTTGACACAGTCGCCACGGTTACGCAACGCGTCGGTGTGGTCCAACTCGAGAGAGGAAAAAAGATTAAGCGGATACACACTAACCTTGTCGAGATCGATCTCTTCCTGGGAGTTGAGCTTCGGACACGAAAAGATCATGTATTCCGAGTTGTCGAGAGAGTTTTCGGCCCACGAGACACCGGCCAAGATCAGCATCACTAAACACCACTTCATCGTTCGCGATGGCTATATTCCGTTTGTCTGGAACGCTTCGAAAAAACGCGATCGTGTTTTCGATCGTTCGGCGTCGCGAAACAGAATCGAAGCGGCGAAAGAGACGGGAACAGAGAGAGAACGGCTGAGAAACGGAGGGAGAGGGAGAGAGAGAGAGAGAGAAAGAGGGAGGATCAGTCTCGCACGTTTGGCATCGACGACGCGTCGATCGCGATCGCGCGCGGCTCAGATTCTCTTCGGCATGTCCCGCGGACTTTGACCGAATTTTTCGAACTGGCCGGCCCGTTCTCGGTGCACCGACTCCTCCGCAAGAAATCCGCGGACGATCACCGATGCTGCGAGTAACCGGCTCGACTCTCAGCGCGACTGTCGTTCGGCAGACACGCTAATAAGAGGCAACATCGCACAAGCCTCGTCCTCCTCGACTAATATTTTCCGAGCGAGTCACGCGCGGCTCCGCTCCCCCAGTTCCTTCGCGGTCTCTGTCGCGCTTCTGGAACGCTTTAATTGAACGGCTCGCTCATCCCCGCGCGCTCGTCCGTGATCGATGCTTCAGCGCATCGCTCGCTCGCTCGTCCGCCTCGCTCTCTCTCTCTCTCTCTCTCTCTCTCTCTCTCTCGCTTTCTCGACCGCCTCTCCGTCGAATCTCCCTCTCGGTCGCGATCGCTCCGGGATCTGGTGGCCGCTGGATCGCGCGGTCCACGGCCGCGAAAGGTCTCGAGGACGTTTCTTCTCTCTCTCTCTCTCTCTCTCTCTCTAGGTGCTCCGGATCTACCGGCGAGCAATCGTCGCAGGCTGCGTGCACGCTAGATGAACGCGAGCAGCGATCGATATTTGCACGGGTCGCGGTCGAACACGCTCGCAAAACCCGCGAGTGTCGATCCGCGCGCGTTTTGCCCGCGCGTTTTGTCCGATCGTCCACGGTCGTCACGGGGAAACGCGGATCGAACCGCGATCGGATCCAGCGTCCAGCGAGATCCCTCGAACGGCCGTCGTTGGATCCTCCGCGTCTCCGAATCCTCGTCTCTGAATCTTCGAACGCGAAGGCTACCTCGGAGAACACTTGGAACCACCGGTTTCGCCGTCGACGACCTGTCGGCGACCTGTCAGCAACCAACCGGTCGGAGATCCGATGATCCTCGCGGATCGCGGGATCGATCGGTGCACCACTCGACACGGTTCTCGGGATCAGAGCCGAACGACGATCCGGAGCAGTGACCTCGATCGAGCAGGCCGGGATGCGCACGCGACGCAGTCGTAGGGTACTCTGACGTTCCCAGCCTGCTCCGCTGGTCCTCGCCTACGTCCGTCCGTCCGTCCGTCGCGACGCCCCCACGATCCGCAGGGAGAGGGGAGCTAAGAATGGGCCGAACACGTGAAGGAGATCAAGGATTAGCTGCGGAACCTACTCGCTGGGAGACGTTTTTCTCCGCGGGAATCAATTTTCCGGGAACGAGATGCGCGATTCGCCGACACAGTTTTCGCGGACAGGTGACACGCGCGCACCATCGTTCGATGAACGATCGCCGGACCGCGGATCCCGATGCAAATTGGCGCGTGAACGTTTCATGGACACTAAGCCCCGCGAAGAATTTATTTTACGGGTATAAACGCGGTTACTCCGCGGACGGAAATCGGACGACACGCTCGTCGTACGAAATTTCCTTTTGGACGAGGTAGGTAGCGATGGCACGCTTTTTTTTCAAAAACTTCGCTACATAGATCAAGAAAAGGTCGGACATTTTTGCCGACGAAGGAATTGCATCGTATGCACGTATGCACGTATGCACGTATGCACGTATGCACGTATGCACGAGGCTGTCGGACTCGAATCGAGATGGGATGACCTACATTTGGCACGTCCCCGGTATGATTAGGTTTGCGACTGCCTATATTTTAGGATCGTTTTAACGTTTCATTTCTCATGGCTTTTCAGAAGTTTCTTCTTCTTTCTCGTACGTCCTTGACCCATTTCAGTCAAGGGAGACTTGGATTTGAAAATTAATTTTCGCACTAGTCTACCGTATTTTCTGAATTTTAACCGAGATTCGCGTTATTGAAAATGTAATCGATCTTATTAGACGAGTTAACTCGTCGATTTCAATTCGATTATATAAAATACTTCCGTTTTGTGCACATCACGGTCGGATATAACAGAACTACAGATTCAAAATGTAAATGTAACAATGGATCTCTTTGCGTATTTCTATAATATATAAGGGATCGTTTAAAATTGTCCGTATCACGCGCGTGCTTTCTATTCGATCTCTCTTGGTCAAAGATTCAGGTTGGATTTTTCTTTGTTTCTCTTGTTGGAAGTTGGAAACCCTTGCGCAGGGCACGAAGAAACTGCGGGGAATGCTGAACTTTGATCAAACTTTCATCAAATATATCAATCCCTGAAATCTGTCGGTTCCTGTTCGAAGTTTACTTTTCCATTTCACTATGCGTTCGCGTATCGCTTGGAAAACGCGAGAAAGTCGAAGAATCCATTTTCGAGTTTCTTATAAATACGTACTGCAAAAANCAGCGCATCGCGCTCGCTCGTCCGCCTCGCTCTCTCTCTCTCTCTCTCTCTCTCTCTCTCTCTCGCTTTCTCGACCGCCTCTCCGTCGAATCTCCCTCTCGGTCGCGATCGCTCCGGGATCTGGTGGCCGCTGGATCGCGCGGTCCACGGCCGCGAAAGGTCTCGAGGACGTTTCTTCTCTCTCTCTCTCTCTCTCTCTCTCTAGGTGCTCCGGATCTACCGGCGAGCAATCGTCGCAGGCTGCGTGCACGCTAGATGAACGCGAGCAGCGATCGATATTTGCACGGGTCGCGGTCGAACACGCTCGCAAAACCCGCGAGTGTCGATCCGCGCGCGTTTTGCCCGCGCGTTTTGTCCGATCGTCCACGGTCGTCACGGGGAAACGCGGATCGAACCGCGATCGGATCCAGCGTCCAGCGAGATCCCTCGAACGGCCGTCGTTGGATCCTCCGCGTCTCCGAATCCTCGTCTCTGAATCTTCGAACGCGAAGGCTACCTCGGAGAACACTTGGAACCACCGGTTTCGCCGTCGACGACCTGTCGGCGACCTGTCAGCAACCAACCGGTCGGAGATCCGATGATCCTCGCGGATCGCGGGATCGATCGGTGCACCACTCGACACGGTTCTCGGGATCAGAGCCGAACGACGATCCGGAGCAGTGACCTCGATCGAGCAGGCCGGGATGCGCACGCGACGCAGTCGTAGGGTACTCTGACGTTCCCAGCCTGCTCCGCTGGTCCTCGCCTACGTCCGTCCGTCCGTCCGTCGCGACGCCCCCACGATCCGCAGGGAGAGGGGAGCTAAGAATGGGCCGAACACGTGAAGGAGATCAAGGATTAGCTGCGGAACCTACTCGCTGGGAGACGTTTTTCTCCGCGGGAATCAATTTTCCGGGAACGAGATGCGCGATTCGCCGACACAGTTTTCGCGGACAGGTGACACGCGCGCACCATCGTTCGATGAACGATCGCCGGACCGCGGATCCCGATGCAAATTGGCGCGTGAACGTTTCATGGACACTAAGCCCCGCGAAGAATTTATTTTACGGGTATAAACGCGGTTACTCCGCGGACGGAAATCGGACGACACGCTCGTCGTACGAAATTTCCTTTTGGACGAGGTAGGTAGCGATGGCACGCTTTTTTTTCAAAAACTTCGCTACATAGATCAAGAAAAGGTCGGACATTTTTGCCGACGAAGGAATTGCATCGTATGCACGTATGCACGTATGCACGTATGCACGTATGCACGTATGCACGAGGCTGTCGGACTCGAATCGAGATGGGATGACCTACATTTGGCACGTCCCCGGTATGATTAGGTTTGCGACTGCCTATATTTTAGGATCGTTTTAACGTTTCATTTCTCATGGCTTTTCAGAAGTTTCTTCTTCTTTCTCGTACGTCCTTGACCCATTTCAGTCAAGGGAGACTTGGATTTGAAAATTAATTTTCGCACTAGTCTACCGTATTTTCTGAATTTTAACCGAGATTCGCGTTATTGAAAATGTAATCGATCTTATTAGACGAGTTAACTCGTCGATTTCAATTCGATTATATAAAATACTTCCGTTTTGTGCACATCACGGTCGGATATAACAGAACTACAGATTCAAAATGTAAATGTAACAATGGATCTCTTTGCGTATTTCTATAATATATAAGGGATCGTTTAAAATTGTCCGTATCACGCGCGTGCTTTCTATTCGATCTCTCTTGGTCAAAGATTCAGGTTGGATTTTTCTTTGTTTCTCTTGTTGGAAGTTGGAAACCCTTGCGCAGGGCACGAAGAAACTGCGGGGAATGCTGAACTTTGATCAAACTTTCATCAAATATATCAATCCCTGAAATCTGTCGGTTCCTGTTCGAAGTTTACTTTTCCATTTCACTATGCGTTCGCGTATCGCTTGGAAAACGCGAGAAAGTCGAAGAATCCATTTTCGAGTTTCTTATAAATACGTACTGCAAAAATTTCGCTTGTTCGCAAATGATGAACATTTAAAAACGGTCACGCCGATCCGCCCGATAGTTCGAAGATCGAAGCAATTAATACGGATAACGACCGATTCGCAGTTACCGAGGCTCTAAACGGATCGAACGTGTCTTTTATTATTTTTTAATTACTCGCGGAGGTAGCAATTCACGAGCGCCGAGTTTCCTGCGAATTCCCACGAGAAATTTTCGGGACGAGATGCGAAAACAAGGCTCGCGGAGTCGATGTGAAAATTCCGGAAAGTCGGTTTTCGCGACGGACGAGAGCGCATCCCGGTTTTTTGCTGAGTTTTACGCGAGGCGGAGTCGTAAGTTGCCTCGAAGGCTTCAGTTTGCTCGTTTCCCCTGACACGGTAGGTACGTACAATGCGAGAAAAAAGTGTTCATACACTGCTGGCGTTTTCTAACTACTGTTAACACTCTCCTCCAACGTGGCTCCGAGTGAACAATTACATGTACCAGATTGTCGGACAGGAATTTCGTTTTCCGTCCAGGGAACGGACGGACGAAAATGATGAACAGCTTCGGGTTGTTCTAAAACCGCTGTCGTCGTTGGTCTCCAGGCAGAGACAACGGCGAATCAAGGTACATTTTTTAGTAACCAACACTGTTTCGGTCCTTCAGGATTTACCGAAACCGAGCATGATTGACACCGGTGGATTAATCGGCAACACAGTGATCGATGCACGCTACAAAAATATTTTACCACTCGGTTGACGAATAGTCGACGCGGCCTCGAATGGAGCTACAATGTTTCGAGCCAAGCCATCTAGTTAAATAGAAATAATGGGGAAATAACAATCCTAAATGGGCGTTTTCTACTCTTCTTTAAAGGAAATATTATAACTAAGTGAATCCCCCCCCCCCTCAGAATGATTGGCACACCTCTTCAAATAGAATAACGTTTTTAAAAGTGGACGATGTTAGAGGGTTAAGAGTTTACCGAACAACGACTAAAATACTTTCTCTTAATATTTTGCTATTACTCGGAACGACAACAAAACATTAAAGACCCACGTTTTCTCGACTCTTTCATTCGAGTCCACAATGAAAGTTAATAATAAATAAAAGTCG